TTAACTTTAATAAAATTTGTGCGAGTTCATATTTTAATCGAAAAGTTTAAATCATTGTTTGTTGAGTTCAACCTTTAATGAATATAGATTATTAAATGACTATGGCGAATATATTGACATTATTTCCACGTACAATAATATTTAAATATATTTATTAAAATTTTAAAGAAAAAATCTGTTAAACAATTAATTTAAACAAAGTTTATAACTCAATATTTTTCTAAAAGATGATTTCTTCCTTGTAATGGTTCTTTTTAAGAAAATTTTTTAAAACTAATAAAACATTTAATTAGGTAAAATAAATAATTATACATTTCTATAACAAGCCTTTAATTCGTGTCGTTACTCCCGAATAGTTTATAGTAAAAGCAGGTAAATAATAAGAGTTGGAAAACCCAAAATATACCTAAAAAAAATAAATAAATTGATGTTGAGGACTGTGTAGATTATTCAAACAGAATGTTGAAAGTCATCATGCAGAAGACACACACTCTTTGCACCAGTTTTAAACTTTATTTTGATTTAGCGTTATTTAAGTATAGAATATTATTATATAGCTAAAATAGATTTCATGGTATTCTTTTTTATATTTTCGTATACTAGCTGTGATTAATTTTTTTTTTCATTAGATTCTGGTAAATGTTAATAGTAACTTTAATAAGTAATATTTCATCTGTATAGATTATTAAGTAAACATATTAAAGGGTCATTGCTTAGGAACAATAGTAATATTTTAACTATTAACCAGAATTCTAAATTATATATTAACCTAGTCTGATATTATGAAGACAAAGATCTATTTAAATTTATACAAGAATGAATAAAAATATCAGATCCCAAATATATAATTTTCTGCTTCAAATAATCTTACCTTTTTTGTATCATCGTTGACAAAAAAAATATTATACATCTTCAAAGGGGAAGAAAATATACTTAAAGTGGTTTAACTTTTCTAAATTTTTATATCAATAAAAAAATTAGTAGCACAGGTTATCATTTTTTTTTATAACGTCTCTAAATCTTAATTAAATATTTCATTTAATAAATACTATTTTGGAAATTTTTTCAAACATAATATAACACATAACCGACGTTTTAAAACAATACTAAATTAATTATTCAACTGAGTGCAATAACTATATGATTTAATATAGATTATTACCCTATTATTGAACAAGTAAAGAATATAACAATAATCTTCATGACAATGGTTTATTTTAAAAAGCATAAATAGTTTTTATGAGTTTAGTGAAATAAAGTATAAAGTACTATTATTATTGTAACATTTATTTTTCTTAAATAACTGTACTTTCGTGTTCTATCTTGTTTGATCGTAAATAAAGTATCCAACAGTGTTATAAACACAATAAAAATAATATACTTTTCCCGAGGGTCAGACGGTATCGTCTGGCTATAAAAGTTGAATGATGGTAAAAAATGCATTTATACATGTATACAGAGTGTTTTTTTTATTATAGACCACTCAATTAATCTAAAAATTAGAACAATATTGATCTTTTTTTATAGTATTATGTTTTTACCAATTTATTAATCATGAAGTATTTTTATGTACAAACCGTATACCTTATGAGGATGTTCATTTTATTTATTCATACATAATTAACTAGTATATTTATTAAATAATGAACTAAATTAGAAAATATCTGGTCGTTAACAACTTTTGCGGTCATATTTTAGGAGTTATTAACATTTTTATAGTTAGAAGGAAAGATGAGTGAGGTAGATAAATGTCCAGTGATAATAGCAGCACCTACTCTCCATTTCTAGTCATTTCAGAAATACTAGTTCTAAAACTATGTTTGGCCAATTTTTTTTTTATTAGATATTAAAGTGTGCTTATTACCTATTAAATAAGCTAATTAATTATGTATATTGTACTTAGTAAAAATCAAGTTAACACCCTTATAAGATATAGTGGTCTTATTTTAAAAAACTTAAATGAATATCAATTAAAGGGGTTAGAGGTGAAGAAAGAATTAATTTTTTTCTATCAGTAATACGTCTTATAACGTATAAATTTATTTATAAACGATTATACTTTTATTTTTTTGAAGATATGTGGATCTGATAGTTAATCAATCACTCTGTATTTAGACTGTATCACTCACTGGGCAAGTATTGGCTGTGTATTTTATTTTTACTTTTCTTTAAAAGTTTTTATATGTTATAGGATTCGTTTTTGCGAGAGTAACAATATTTTTTAGTTGATTGTATAATAATTATTATACACTGTGTATTATATTTATTGGTTTTAATTATAATTAAAACCAATAAATATAAATAAAATTGTTTGTTCAGCCGTTCTATATAATCTTGTGTTCAAAACAAAATTATAATTGTCGTTTAATAGATATGTAAATCTATATTTTTTATGATTTAATATTACCAATAATGATATGTACATTTCGTAAACCAATTAGAAAATGTACACAGGTTATTTTATTGGACATTTTAATTTTCGAAATTGTCTCAAAATATCAATTTCAATGATGGATGTGACATTTCAAAGAACGAATCAAGTCTCAGGTTCAAAATATCATTTCACATTTCTGCATCATTAAATGCGTACAAAGAACAATGCAAACGTGTAGGCTAATAAAACAACGACTACTTTAATTTATGACTTAATTGTTTATTTAAGTGTGATATGAAGAACTCATTATCTAATAATACGCCTACGAAAAAAAAAAAAATGTACTTATTTATGTCGGTGAATTTAAGAGCTGTTTATTTATTAAATTGGAAACAAGACAAAAATGAAGTTAATGCATAGTTAAAAGAGTTTTTTTAAGTACACTTCTATTTTACGCTAACAGTGATTTTAAAACTAATAAATGTAATAAACCAAAAATAAAAAGAAAGAAGAGAAAAAAAGAAATTTAGCGTATAAAAATGAATAAAAAAAAAACGTAGGTTAAATATAAAAAGAAATTAGGGGTATTTGGTAAAATATTATAATCAATTATTTATTATAAGTTTTTGTAATTTTAATTAGATTTAATTGTCTTCAATTTTATTTAAATTAATTTTCTCATTAATTGTTTCTCTCATTAATTATTAATGGTTTATCACGCAATAGATTGTTGGGAGTTCGAAAGCATAAGTTAAATTGTACTTACCTTACGTCCTGTGTGATACAATAATATTTTAAGTAATCCAGTGTTGATTTCCGTATTAAACGCACTACGTATACGATTTACACTATATGTAATATAGTCTATATAATTGCTTACAAAAAACGACTAAAGACTTTAAATAATATGATTTAATTACACAAAGTCTAAGACTGATCTTACTTGTAAAAGATTTTAAACACTCTCTATTTTATTATAAATATAATCTTAATTTTTTTTTATTATTGATTTTTTTTTCGTCTGTTGAATAAGTATTTTTTTTTAGAGAGTATATTTTATTGAGAGATCGATACCAATATTTCTTAAATTTTCCTCTGGCCTGGCCAAAACAAGATTCAGAAATATCTATATCTATGTAAAAATTTTATCAAGGCAGAATTGTGGTGGCCCAATGTGTCCCGGTGCTAAAATAAAGCACCTTGAAAGGATGCGGCACAATAATAACCAAGACAAAAATTAAACACTGCAAATATA